TTATTATTATTAATTAGCCAGGTGGTAACTCCAGAACCAGCTACTGTAGCAGATGTTGTTTCGTTGCTTGATTAAATTATCCCCTCATACTTACCTTGCTTTGGCAGATTCTTTTTAATGCAATACCTCTTAGTAAAGGCCACTAGAAAGTTCTTTTAGCTGGCAAGGCCAACTATATACCTTTCCTGTGCTACCTGAGACGTATCTAAAGTAGTTTCTGTCTTATGCCACAACTTAGTCTATTGGGATCTTGACTGATTTTGCCTTCCACAGATATACATTGGTCTATGACACGGATGATGCTGCAGATTAGACCTAGCAAACAAATGTGGGAGTCTGGATTATTCTGTGCCTCAACTATTCTGTGTCTTTGGCTGATTATTCTTTGCTTTGACTATTTTCTGCCTCTCAGAGTACAAATAGGGGAAGTTTGAGATAAGGAATCTCTCAGGGCAAAAGTCCTCGTATGAGGACCTATATGCTGCAAACAGCATGTGTGGAAGCAGTGATAGCTATTATGGTGGAAGTAGCAAAGACACTTAGGCTTGCCTTCACTGTCTCCCTGGTTTCCCAACGTCGGCTGGGCCAGCTGCTTATGCATCTCCCACACTCTTGTACATTCCCCGTTTGCCTGCTTGCTTCTTTGATATTTTTTTTTTCCTGTCTGATTCTAAATAAAAACGAGACTGCCCTTGGAACTGGGCTACACTTTCTTGGTGTCATCCCTCTAGGCTTCTCATTGCTTTGCACGTGGACTCTGAGTAATCCTTTTTCACCCCACCACCACACGTCATAACGAAACAACAAGAAGTACTCTGGACTTACAGGTAAGGCACTGGTGTGTCAGAGGGTGGAGGGAAAATAATCTGACAAAAATGTGCGACCTTCCACCTCAGTGAAATTTCTTGGGGTCCAGTGTGGGGCATGTTGAGAGATCCCTTCTAAGGTGAAGAGTGAGTTTTTGCATTGGCTCTTCTTACAAGCAAAAAGAGGGACACCTACCGGGCTTCTATGGGCATCAGATGCAAGGTAGGCCTCATCTGGGTGTTACTCTGGCCTATTTAGCAAGCTGTGAGTGCTGCCCAGAACAGCAGGCTCTGCAACGACAGACTGCCGCACCGCTGCTCTGCCTGTGAGCCAGATGAGCCAGAAGCTGTAGCAGCAGACGGGGATGGGGCCCTTGGCTATAGCCTATATGTCAACTGGCTCAGAGCTCAGGATCGTGCGCAAAACCTTGCCATCCTCAGGGGACAGCTGCTCTAATTTTGAGAAACAGCTTTTGGCTTGCAATTGGGCCTCAACTGACTTGCTCATTAAATTGAAGCATGTCAGTGGAGGAAAAGAAAATGAATGTGGATTTGCTAAGTAGTGGTGAGTGAACACAGAAGAGTCCAGCGTTGAGCCTGCCAGTGTCGTATGGGCTATGTGGCATACAGAAGACCCTCTCCTTGGTGCCGCTGCTCATGGGGGCCCAAGTCCTTATGATGGAGGCCCAGCTGTGGATGGTGTGAGGCCAGTAGCAGCTCCTGCAGCACTGAGCCTGGAGTCCTGTTGTTTGAGAATGCAGCCCAAAGCGGCCGGCACACTCCATTCAAGGTTAACTATCAGTACAAAATTGATGGTGAAAAAGAGTCAAGTACAGCAGACACAGAAGGGCAAACTGCAAAGAACGCTGAAGCAAGTTCAAATGAGTGTGGAGCCGTTGTGGGGTGTAATCTCAGATCACACATGGCAACCCCACACCCTGGATGGTGGCCTTGCCTGCAGTCCTGGAATCAAGGAGGTGGCTGATTCTCTTGAACCAAGGAGGTGATGGCTGTCACGCCCTGGTCGCCCATGGTGGCACCAGTAGCTTGCTGGCCTCTGAACCATCCTGGGGTCATTCATCCCTTTTCCTGAAGGACACTATGCTCACAAAAAGAGCTGTACCAGCTCATTTCCTATCTGTAGAATCCCAGAAATTCAACAACCTTCCTTAATTTCTCCCTGCCTATTTTTTCCAGCTCAAGCTGGCAGTGTTTCTACTGAGATGATTGATAGATCCACAAGTCATACATCTGATCTCCTTACCAAGTGGTTGGTGTTCGCTCTAGCCGAGACCCCACCACTCACTCACCACTCACTTACACCTGAGACTCCACAAAAAGGACCTTGAACGTTCATTTCTACCAATGGTCTTTTTGTGGCAATCTTGGCTTTTTCTATCAAACACCTCAAAACCTTTCCAACCTCTATCCATGATTCCAAGGCTCCTTCCATGCATTGTAGGGATCTGCTACAGCAGCACCCTACTTCCCAATACAACAGTCTGTGTTCTGGCAACAACAAAGTACCACAAACTGGGTGACTCAAAAACAGAATTGTCTCACAGTTCTAGTGCCCAGAAGTTTGAAATCAAGATGGCTGCAGGGATCTTTTTGAAGGTATCAGAGAAGGCTCCAGGCTTCTGCAGCCTGAGGCATCGCTTGGCTTATAGATGCATCACTGTGGTCACATGGCCATTCCTTCCCTGTGTCTTCACACTGTCTTCCCTCTCTATGTGTCTTTCTCTTTGTCCGGATTTCCTTTATAGGGTCACAAATCATCCTGGCTTTCAGCCCACCTTAGCAGTCTCATTTTAGCTTGATTACTTGTATAAAGACCCTTTTTTGCCAAGTAAGGTCGCCTTCTGAGGTACTAAGGTTAGGATTTCAACATATTTTATTTGGGGAACACAATTTTACCCACAATAAGCTCCTCACAGATTCACAGGGTGGCCGTGCTTACCTACTGAGAGCAGGTGGCTGTAGTTCTCCAGCGTCACGTCCCGGTATAGGCGCCTCTGACTGGAGTCCAGATGCTGCCACTCCTCCCTGCTGAAGTCCACAGTCACGTCCTTGAATGACACTGGCACCTGGAAGAGCACAATACTGTTCAAGGCCACATGGTCAGCACCAGGGGATGGGAAGAACATTGATGGGAAAATGTATTTTTTTTATACTTTGGTGCCTTTTTATTTACAAATTCAAATAGCTTTCTTGTTTTCTTATATCATTGTTCATCTTTCTTCAATATTTTATTTCTCCCCTCAGCTGTAGTCCCCATTAATCTCCCACCTCCACATTACCCATAGGCCCTTGTACTCTTCCCTCTCCTGTTTTGATCTCTCTCCTCCCCCCCTCTCCTGCCATATGCCTTATATCTAGGATCTGCCAGCAAGTTTTTTAAACAGGAAAATGCTTTTAATGATATCACCAGTATACCACAACGTAGGACTATTAAATACCTAGTTACATGCATGTACCGAATACAAACAGCTAGTTGTAAATATCTGCTATTCATTGCATACAAGTTAATATTTTATTTTTAAAAATAATAATTTTGTACAGGAATTGACCTTGATCCTATTTTGTTGCTCATTTTTATGGGAAATTTGTGGTCCATAACTTATGGAAGGAAACATGTACATTTATTTTTTAACTCACAGGATCCCACTAATGTTGCTTTAATTTACTTTTAAAGATAACAGTGATTGTCTCTTGATGCCTTTTTATTGCTCTTTTATATTTTTTTGGTCTTACTTTTTTGATTATTTAATATATATGTGTTTTGTGGGTGTATGTATACACACACACACACAGAGATCTGTTTTATGTACAATAACTGGGTCTGTCTAATAATCATACCAAGACACTTATGCTAATCTTCTCCTAGGTAGATTCAGGTGAAATTAGATATTTGTGTATTTCATGGACTATCAGAACTTAAAATTTCATTATTGCTTTCAGTTTTGAGGCCAGACACACAATTCGAAATACACATGACTGGGTTAAGGCAATAAAAGTGGGGAGCAGAACAGGTCGACTGACGAAATACACTGCTGAGGGGAGCAGTGGGCGGGTCAGGAGAGGTCTGCCGTGCCATGTGGGTCACCTCCAGGGCTGGGGATTGAACTCTTGCTGAAGTGGTTTTAGCTTTTAGTGCTGTGCTTTAACCCAGGAATCAGGAGACCAGAACTGTATATTTTGCTTACATCAGAGTCACAGTATGAACAGCAAATCTTTGTGCATCTCATAGCTCTTTAATTGTAGTGTGAGAGGTTCTGAACATGTACAATAATTGCACAGTGATGGACAAAGAGCCATGAGACTTGTACTTGAACCAATTATTTGTCTACTTTGTGTGGCTGAATGCTCTGATCCTCTGATCTTCATGGGATCTTAATGAAAGGTTGTACAGTCACACACATCTTTTGCTTATATCTATCTGATAGTGTTTCAAAGCTATTTCTTAATTTTTTTAAAGATTTATTTATTTGTGCATACAGAACTGGGGTACAGGCCAGAAGCTCAGGGGTGGTGAGAGGCTTCACCACAGAGAGTGGGGAGCAGAACAGGCAGATCGACGAAGTACACTGCTGAGGGGAGCAGCGGGCGGGTCAGGAGAGGTCTGCCGCGCCATGTGGTCACCTCCGGGGCAGGCAGGAATCGAACTCATGTGGAAGTGGCTTTAGCTTCTTAGTTCAGTGCTTTAACCCGCTGAGCCATCAGGGAGGGCCAGCTATTTCTTAATTTTAAAATATTGTACTACCAACAGAAGCTAACAGTTTTCAAAACTATCAAGTCCTAGTTCTTTGAGTCTTTCTCTCTATCTCCTTTCACATTTTGTGTAAGCAGCAAGAAGAAACTAGACCCATTCAAAACTTTACTTGGAAATATTAGATATCTTCATTAAGCACATGCTCTACATAACACCTAATTTCAAGTGTTATTAAGTTTCTAGTACTCTATGACAAGCATCCTCCAGTTTCCAAAATCTGTTCTTCACTCCCTTTTGTGTCCTCAGCAACAACATTCTAAAAGCCAAAATTTCTATTAATAGTCTGTTCGAGCATTTTAGAGTCTCGCTAACATGGTCCTTAAAAATCCTTCCAGCCAGGGCCCTCCCTGGTGGTGCAGTGGGTTAAAGCACAGCACTAAGAAGCTAAAACCACTTCAGCAAGAGTTCAATCCCCAGCCCCGGAGCTGACCCACATAACATGGAAGACCTCTCCTGACAAGCCCGCTGCTCCCCTCAGCAGTGTACTTCGTCAATCTGCCTGTTCTGCTCCCCACTCTGTCTCTGGTGAATCCTCTCACTGCCCCTGCACCTCTGGCCTGTACCCCAGTTCTGTATGCATAAGTAAATCTTTCCAGCCTCCACTCACATCCCAGTTGAAGGACATTCACTTTTAAGTATTTTATATGGCAAAACCCCAGCACCAAAATCTGTGTTAGTTTTTTATTTGATGCACAGCAAATTACCCCAAAAACTCAGTGAGTTACAACAACACCCACAATTTCTGTGGGTCAGGCGTCTAGGTGTGGCTCAGCTGGATCCTTTCCCCATGGGCAGAACCCATGGCAGCTTGCTTTATCAGTGAGCAAGTGAGAGAAGCCAGAAAGTGCCAGCAAGATAGAAGTCAGGGTGTTTTATCACCCAATCTTACATGTGACGGCGATCACTTCTGTCATATTGTGTTTATTAGAAGCAGCTTACTAGGTTCAGCCCCCACACAAAGAGGGTATATTATACAAAGGTATATCCAGCCACGAAGCAGGGATCAAGGGATCACTGAGCATCACCTCAGAAGTCTGTTTACCATAGCAACATATTAAGACTTGCATGAAACAAATATAGATAAGTTTAGAGCAAATTTATAGTTTTAAATACTTACATTAGAAGAGTCTAAAATAAGTGACGCACATTAAACCTCAGGGCATCGGGGGTTGGGGGAAGACTCAAAGAAAGTCAAAGAAAAAACTAGCAAAGATTAAAAATTAATGAAACAGAAAACAAACAACAGAAAAAGCCAACAAAAAGTTTATTCAAGTCAGATTACAGACCTAAACATAAAAGCATTAAACTAAAACAAAAAGTAACCTAGAAGAAAATATAAGAGAACATCTTTGCTACCTTGGATAAGTTTTTTTTTTTAGGATTTATTTATTTATGCATACAAGAACTAGGGTACAGGCCAGAAGTGTGGGCAGTGAGAGAGAGGATTCACCAGAGACAGAGTGGAGAATAGAATAGGCTGACTGAATGACATATACTGCTGAGGGAAGCAGGCGAGACAGGAGAGGTCTGCCATGCCATGTGGGTCAGCTCCCTGCCTGAGGATTGAACTCATGCTGAAGTGGCTGTAGACAGCTGTGCCACCAGGGAGATCCAGGATATTTCTTGATATAGTACATGAAGTACCAACCATAAAAGATAATGCTGACAAATGGGAACTTATCAAAATTAAAACTTACGCTTATTAATAAGAAAATAAAAAATCAAGCCACAGACTGGGCGAAAATATTTGCAACACATATACAAAACACCCATATTAAGAATGTAGAAAGAGTTCTGACAAAGTAATAAGAAAAAGAAACATAATCCACTCTCCAAATGGAGAAAATACAAGAACACATATAAACAAAATTTACAAATGGCCAGTACCAGTACGGCACATGAAATGATATTTAACATCATTAATTATAAAGTAAATACAATTTAAACTACACTGAGATAGAAGTATACACTAAAAAGCTAAAATTAAAAAGAAACTCAAAATTGCTGGTAGGAATGTAAAACTGAATCATCACTTTGGAAAGTTTTTGGCAGTTTCTAATGAAGTTAAGCCTTTCCCCACTTTTCCCATTTGTTGGTAGTTACCATAGAAATGAAAAAATATGCCCTCAGAGAAATTATATGAGAAGATTTATAGCAGGCTTATCCATGATAACCAAAAACTAGAAACATTCCAAATATCCACCAGGTGATGAATGCATGAACCAATTGTGACATATCATAAATGCAACTCTCTGCAATAAAAAGAGCTACTGGTAGACCTGACAACATGATGGCTCGCAAAAGTGTGTTATTTTATAAGTACAAGCCAAACACAGATGTAATGATTCTATTTATATGGCAACCAAGAGCAGGCAGGGTGAAAGAATCCATAGAGAAGAAAAGTCTTAACAATGGTTGCATCAAAGGGGAGGCTGTAGGATAGTTAAGAAGGAATTTTCAAGGGTGATGGACATGTTCTATATTTAACTTGATTGATGGTTACATTTGTCAAAACGCATCAAACTATACCTTTAAGATCTAGACAACTTAATGTATTTCAAGTGTGACTCAGTTTCAAAAAACAAAAGTGTGTGTCAGAAATATATTCAGGGTATATTGTGGGCCCCAAAGAGGAAACAGTCAGTTCTCCTGGGGGTGTAGGTAGGTTCCATGGAATTGGCACAGTTTAAATTGGAAAAGAATAAGTGTGATAGAGATAAGATTTTCCAGAAAAGACAGAGAATGGCATGGAGCCAGGAAAATACACAGTAATTAAGGAAAGAGAAAACAGCTCTATGAAAAAAGGAGAGAAGACTATGTAATATATCAGGGAGGTAATTATGAGAAAAATTCCAGAAATATGCTAGAGTCTGGACATGAAAATTGCAATTCTTTTAGTATTAGATTGTGTTAGTTATTTTATGTATCAGGAAAGAGATACTGTTTGGATTTATGTTAAAATGATTATTCTTCTAATTACTGCATTTCAGGATAAATAGTCAGCAATGGAAATGTATCCTCTTTATCCTCTGCTGAAAAATGAGACCATGTCTCCAATCTCTCAAACTGCACAGTCCAAAGGACTGTCTCTCACTACTGGTCCGCTCTCTCTGCCCCTCCTTCACCCCCAACTAAACCTGACAATCCTTTCCTCACACAGAACTTTTCCTGTGCACCACTCCAGACCTTTCTTCTACCCACTATTTCTCCTTATTCTGTGGCTTCCCCCTCCCTTCAGCTCCTATTCCTCCTCTTCACCTTCCTTGGCTCCATTAAACCCCCCTGCTCCCAAATCCCCAGCCTAATCTGGACTGTGGCCCATGTGATGAGAGGTCACCAACACGAAAGCCCACAAGAACTACCAGTCTTTTCAGCCCTTGGTCTTGCTCGGATTTACATGTTTTTGTTAAAGACTTTCTAGACTTCTATAAGAATAGAGAAAAATGTGTTGATCGACTCAGATTGGCCCTACGATCATAGTATTCTGAGTGCCCTGATTTATATCAACTTGTGCAATTATTAATGGGTCCTGGAGATGAACCTTCAAAGAAATGAGAACATGTCCAAGGCTTACATGCAAATTAAAACTATAAGAAGGGGACTTTCGGATTTCTTTCCCACTGTCTCCTCCCTGAAAAATTTATTAGCCAGTGATACAAGATTACAGACAACAAAGGGATAATCTCTAACTACAGAGACTGTAAAATGTTTAGAAGCATTATTCCATTCTCTCAATAATCAAACTGTATTTGCTTTAGTCATTCACTTTATTAATTGGTTACAACTAGAAAGCAGAAACATGATCCATAAATATAATATAAACTAACAAACTACTTCCCTCTCCAAAATACAAATCACAGGACTCCACAAATCAACACAAAGCAAATCCATGACTTTACAACTTAAATAATCAGAAGAAAATAAGATATGGCAATCTCCCTCCCCCAAACCTCCAGGCAGTGACACTTTGGGTACCATTATTATAAAAAGAGAGGTGGCACTGGACTGGGGGTTTCCTGACCTTAAAAAATAAAAAAAAAAATAAGGAACAAGAGTCCAAAAAACTACCTCCCCAACAACTTTCCTTGGAGAGTATCTCCCACTTATGTCCACAACTGATGCCATGTGCAAGGGGAAATAATCACCTCCAGCCATGGGCATGCCACCATCTTCCTCCAATGACCAAAGGACAACACATTCCACCATTGATGAGACAAGGACAGAACTTTGCTGTTCCCATGGGCTAATTTGGTAAACAAAACATGAAACAAATCTGATGACTCTAGGCCTGGACACCAGCTGCTATAAATTTCCTTGACCTATTGTTTCTTATTTACTGATCTTCTCTGAGCCTGTACATTCCTTGGCTATTTCTTTCCAGCTTAGAGAGTTCCCTGGCTATTGCAGAAGAAGGGAGTGGTAGACCCTGAGACCAGACTGGTTCAAACTAGAGCTGCGGGCATATGCACACAGTCCCAGTGACATGACCACAGCCTGTATGACCACCAAGTTGCAGCAGATTGGTGCCCACAATGAGCAACAGGAAATGGACCACACTCAGTTGAGCAAATGGACTTTAGCCGAGTCCATTCTCCTTGCTTTCACAGGCAATAAAGCTTAATTTCTTTCTTCTCAAACTCCATCCTAAAGCCTAGATAGACCCCCAGCCCTGGCCTCTCAGAAGGCCTCTCATGCCCAGAGAGATCTGTCCAGGGCACTCAGGGCTCATTCAGTCAGTAAACACCAACTCCTCACCTGCTCCCACCGGTGTCTCTGGAAGCCTCTTTTAGGTCCTGAACAGAGTCTCAGGAGCCCTTCAGGGGCTTGGCAGCAGGGGGTGGGGGGGCTCAGTCAATCCCTCCAATGCCAGCAGGTGAAGCAGTGGGCAGTGGCTGGCTTGCTCAGGCTTATCTACATGGTTGCTGGAGGGCGAGATTAGACCTGACCTGAAGGACCCCCGACCCCTCCCTTGCCCAGCGGACAATTAACAGTTCTTATTTTCCCACCACTCTTTCTCTGAATACACAAAACATGACCTACCAGTGACTTGCCTTCGTCTAAACCAGTTCTGAGTCTTCCTCAGAACTCTCAGTACCCAGCTCAGCTTTCTGCTTTGCTCTACTCCCCAGTGAGGCTTTTACGAGCAGAAGAGCACTTTTGCATGAACCAGTGAGCTACAAGCTCTCCTTCTGTTGTCTGTACACAGAGCAATATTTACGTATTTGTAAGTTATATATGTACCTGCCTGCAGGGTTAAAAAAATGAATATTCCTAAAATTCTTCCAAGTTAAAAAAATGTGAGTATCTAAACCTTTAAAGGTGCTAAAAGAATTCTTATAGAAACTAACTCAAAGATTTTAAGATTTCAAGTTCACATAATGTAGGTAAATCTTTGACCAATGAGATTAGTTTAATATTGTCGGTTTAACAAAAATGTCCATGTCTTCTATATGCTAATGCTTTCAGCATCAAGTATCATGCAAGAATATTTCTTTCTGGATTGCAACCAGATTTTGTTTTTAATGAAATAGAGAAGAAGAAGTACCCCCATACATTACGTCTAAGGGGTACTGCTCTTAAAGGTCTTGTCTCTATTACACGTGTGTGTGTGGATACTCAGTCATATATTCTGCTCACTGTGTAAAATATACTTCTTACTGAGCATCACAGTCAAAAGCGTTTGGAAAAAACCCTCAATTAACTTTAAAATACATATATTTTAAATGCCTCTGCTTTATTTGTAGCTTGCTTTGAAGGGCAAACAAAGCAATAAGCTGCAAAGTAATTCTCCATTTTATAAAATATTTGCCTAAAGAACCTAGACTGATTAACGTCGACAAAGGCAGTGTCTTTCTACATCCATCAAGCAGCATACTAGGGAGCTTCTCAGCATTATCAGTGCTTTCTGGACACTGCCACGTTGTTCTTCATTTCGATTTCTCACCAATCACTAAATCACTGATTTCACTGCAGGCCGTTGGCCACTAGCCAGATCGTGATGATTCCTGGTGAGAGTGGAATGGCTATACAATAAAAAATTGAAGTCCACGAGTGATCTAAGAAATTCCTTCCAGGTGATACTCTACATCAAAAACTGAATTGAACACAAACCAACATTTTCGTTCTTATCCAGGCTTACTAACTGCATAAACTAACATTACATTTACTGCATATTTAAAGCTATGAAAAATGTAAGTCTGTATTTAGCCAAATTTAATCATTTGTCTGACAAACTTTATTTCTACTATGGTTATATTTGAAGATAGTTTTCAATATCTTTAAGTGACTTAAAACCCTGGATTTAGTTCAATGGATATTCATTAGATACCTAATTACATCTAAGTAAGAAAACTGAAAGACTAAGTCTATGTTAAGATGTTATATGCCTTTCACATCCTATTTGTATGTGGTTACAGGAAGGCTTATACAGACATTCTGCTTATGAACCTATCCACTTTTGTCAGTGTAGAACTTGTACTGTAAAGAATGTATATGGCTATAAAAATTGTGCCAACCTGCTACAAATACTGATGTAGGTTAGACAATTTAGTTACTCACAGTTCCTAGTTCTCACCACAAAACAGAAGTTATTTGAGTTCAAAGTTGTAATTGGTATATGTGAACAACACTCTACTAGGAGCAGAGAGGCCAACTCTGTGTGTGTGTGGGGGGGACACTCCCGGGAGGTTGGTGTTAGGGAAAAAGTGAGTAGTTTTGTCCAAAAGTAAAATGATTGGTTGTTCCATAATGAGAAAAGGAGGGATATGAGCACAGAAAACAGCAGAAGAATCTCATAGAAAGAGAACTGTACTTGTTTGGATCAAAGTTGGCTAAGTTTTAATGAGTTTATAAGATTTTTAAAAAGAGCTTTAGTCTCGAATACTATACTAATATAAAACTAGAATGTGTTAAAGTTGCTTAAGCCCCACCACGCTGCTGCTTTGTCTACTCTGTCAGATTTCTCCATCTTTTCTATCGACCTCTGACCCAACGACCTCCTATGATCCCAGTGCTACGATGACTTTGCCTAGCACAGGGGTCCTCTCTGTCTTTTCCCTCCTTTACACCCCCACCATATTAACAAAGAGGGAGGTGTCAAAATTCCCTCATTTGGTTTTCAACTAGTGAATTGCCCCCATTCTCATGGATAAGCCATCCTGCACCTGCCTGCGAGAGTCAACATCAATTTGCATTTCCCTCAGTGTACTCCCTAACTTCCTCAGAATTAGGGGTAGGGAACAAGCACAAAAGCACTTTTATCCATTTTCTCAATTACCATTTTCTCCTCCATTACTTTTTTTTAAAAAGATTTGTTTATACATACAGAACCGGGTTTCAGGCCAGAGGTGCAGGGACAGTGAGAGGATTCACCAGAGACAGAGTGGGGAGCAGAACAGGCAGATCAAGGAAGCACACTGCTGAGGGGAGCAGTAGGTGAGACAGGAGAGGTCTGCCCCACCCTGTGGCTCACCCCCAGGGCCTGGGATTGAACTAGCACTGAAGCAGTTGTGGTTAGCTTGCATTGCTGTGCCCTAACCTGTTGAGTCACCAGGGAGGGCCTCCACCACTTTTCAACCAGCCTTACACACTCTGTTCAGGTCTATCAAAAGTCCTTCCCCTCTTGAGAGATAGACCATGGTTAACCAAAATGATTTCTTCGAATTCCTACATCACGAACACTATTTTCATGTGGCCACCAGCTTATACACCTACCTTCCCACACCAATCTTTCCCGTGTCTTTGAAATCCTTGCCCAGGAACTTAAAAGACTAAAGACCACCATCCCGTTTGTCAAGCGCGTGGCCTTCTGAGGACTTTATTCCAGAATGAGGCAGCTACAGGGTATTCCAGAACTTCCCAGGGGGGTGGCAATTCTCTATATGCACCCTCTCTTTCTGAGGGTCATTTTATCCACTATGGGGATTACACAGTTTTTAAAGTAACTCAAAATCTCTCCTTAACCCTTGCAGAAGTAATAAATGATACTACTTCTGCCTTAGAAGTACAGCAGTAAGTTTAAATTCACTCGCCCAAGTTATTACAGACAGTAATGTAGGTTTCAACTTCCTCCTGGCCAGTCCAGGAGGTATCTGCACATAACCAGCACCTCTTGGGGTATTTGCATGCACACTGCAGGCGACGTCGACCAGTCACTAAACTAAAGGAAAATCTAGCTTGGCTTTATAAGGTTGATATGATCAGCCTATAGGCTATGTCTCTTGATTAGAATGTAGGATCCTGGCTCTGAGGTATATTGCAAGGATTACAAATCCTACTTATAACCTTATGTCTTACAGCTGGGAGGCACACATGCTACTATGCAGTCAGTCTTGACAAAGGCTCATCAGCATATCACAATCCAGCAGACCTGAGAATAACTCCATCTCCAACTGACTTTGCACATAAAGGCTGAATTTGAACTGGTAATGTCCTACCTGGAGAGCAAATCTGGACATAAACCTGGATACCCCCGTTATTTCCAGACCTAGATCAAAACAACCTCATAGTTGTCTTGAACAAGAGTCTGGCAGTTGAATTCCACCTGAGTCCTGAAAACAGTGATGATTTTAAATTCCTCCCTCCTTTTTGTGTTCTTCAAAGTCGCTTATCCCAGGCCCTCCCTGGTGGCGCAGCGGGTTAAAGCACTGCACTGAGAAGCAAAAGCCACTTTCACATGAGTTCAATTCCCGCCTGCCCCAGAGGTGACCACATGGCGTGGCAGACCTCTCCTGACCCGCCCGCTGCTCCCCTCAGCAGTGTACTTCGTCGATCTGCCTGTTCTGCTCCCCACTCTGTCTCTGGTGAAGCCTCTCACCACCCCTGAGCCTCTGGCCTGTACCCCAGTTCTGTATGTACAAATAAATTTTTTTAAAAAAAAAACAAATTTAAAAAATAAAAATAAATAAATAAAGTCACTTATCCCAAAGGACACATTTTCCCAGATGACTCAGCAAATATTTGTACCTTCTCATGACCCCCATAGGACTCCCGAGTTTACTTGTAACAAGGGAAAATGCAGACCTTTCTCCTTTTGTGGAACCTGTTGAAAGTTCAGGCACAGATCCTGCCAACTCCCCATGAACTGGCATTCATTGTTGCGTGAATGATTAACTGAGATTAGAAGTCTGTCCCCCTCAAACCAAAGAGAAATAAACATTTCCTGTTCAAGTGACTGACTGTTACTTCCCAATAGCAGAAACAATCCC